CCAATGTTTGCTTGCAGGTCAGACCTATACGCACATGCAAACAAAAACAGGCTAGGCTGACGTGCTTTATTCATCTGCATTGTTCTGCATCAGTATGTTCCAGGATGTCTATTATTGAGCTTTGTTAAGTAGGACAAATGTTGCCCAACATGGTACAACTTTGGGTCAAGTTTGCTATGCTAGCCAGGTTTTGTTTTTAATGATTAAATTAATGTATCTTCAAATATTGACTGAGGGAGTAGAGCAGGAAGGGTGTTTAACTCATTGCTAGAGAATGAGATTAGGAATTACGGGAGCATCTCCAACTTGTATCTGTGCAGAGGACAAAATTATTTCCTGGGGATAATATTAGCAGGCAGTATTTTCAAACAGTAATATTAAATCAGTCCATTGCACTGAACCTAAATGAGAGGTAAAAAGGCATCCTTTAAAAAGTGGAAGTTAAATCCTAGTGAGGAAAATAGAAAGGACCATAAACTCTGGCAAATGAAGTGTAAAAATATAATTAGGAAGACCAAAAAATAATTTGAAGAACAGCGACCCAAAGACTCAAAAAGTAATATCAATTTTTTTTTTTTAAGTACATCAGAAGCAGGACTCCTGCTAAACAACCAGTGAGGCCACTGGACGATTGAGATGCTAAAGGAGCACTCAGGATGATAAGGCCATTGCAGAGAAACTAAATGAATTCTTTGCATCAGTCTTCATGGCTGAGGATGTGAGGGAGATTCCCAAACCTGAGCCATTCTTTTTAGGTGACAAATCTGAGGAACTGTCCCAGATTGAGTTGTCATTAGAGGAGGTTTGGAACAAATTGATAAACTAAACAGTAATAAATCACCAGGACCAGATGGTATTCACCCATGAGTTCTGAAGGAGTTCAAATGTGAACTACTAACTGTAGTCTGTAACCTAGCATTTAAATCAGCTTCTGTACCAAATGACTGGAAGATAGCTAATATGACATCATTTTTTTAAAAAGGGCTCCAGACGTGATCCCGGCAATTACAGGCTGGTAAGCCTGACTTCAGTACCGGGCAAACTGGTTGAAACAAGAACAAAATTGTCAGACACATAGATGAACATAATTTGTTGGGGAAAAGTCAACATAATTTTTGTTAAGGGAAATCATGCCTCACCAGTCTGCAAGAATTTTTGAGGGGGGTCAACGAGCATGTGGACAAAGGGGACCCAGTGGATATAGTGTACTTAGATTTTCAGAAAGCCTTTGACAAGGTCCCTCACCAAGGGCTCTTAAGCAAAGTAAGTTCTCACGGGATAAGATGGAAGGTCCTCTCATGGCTTGGTAACTGGTTAAAAGATAGGAAGCAAAGGGTAGGAAGAAATGGTCAGTTTTCATAATGGAGAGAGGTAAATAGTGGTGTCCTCCAGGGCTCTGTACTGGGACTGGTCCCATTCAACATATTCATAAATGATCTGGAAAAAGGGGTAGACAGCGAGGTGGCAAAATTTGCAGATGAAACAAAACTGCTCCAGACAGTTAAGTCCCAGGCAGACTGCGAAGAGTTACAAAGGGATCTCACAAAACTGGGTGACTGGGCAACAAAATGTCAGATGAAATTCAATGTTGATAAATGCAAAGTAATGCACATTGGAAAACATAATCCCAACTATACATATGAAATGACGACAAATTAGCTGTTGCCACTCAAGAAAGAGATCTTGGAGTCATTGTGGGTAGTTCTCTGAAAACATCCACTCAATGTGTGGCGGCAGTCAAAAAAACAAACAGAACGTTGGGCACTATTAAGAAAGGGATAGATAATCAGACAAAAAATATATTACCTCTATATAAATCCATGGTGCTCCCACATCTTGAATACTGCATTCTGATGTGGTCGCCCCATCTCAAAAAAGATATATTGGAATTCGGAAAGGTTTAGAAAAGGGCAACAAAAATGCTTAGGGGTATGGAACGGCTTCCATATGAGGCGAGATTAATAAGATTGGGACTTTTCAGCTTGGAAAAGAGATGACTAAGGGGGGATATGACTGAGGTCTATAAAATCATGACTGGTGTGGAGAAAGTAAATAAAAAAGTAAAGAAAGTCTCATAACACAAGAACTAGGGGTCACCAAATGAAATTAATAGGCAGCAGGTTTAAAACAAACAAAAGGAAGTATTTCTTCACACAATGCACAGTCAACCTGTGGAACTCTTTGCCAGAGGATGTTGTGAAGGCCAAGACTATAACAGGGTTCAAAAAAGAACTAGATAAATTCATGGAGGATAGGTCCATCAGTGGCTATTAGCCAGAATGGGCAGGGATGGTGACCCTAGCCTCTGTTGTCCAAAGCTGGGAATGAGCGACAGGGAATGAATCACTTGATGATTACCTGTTCATTCCCTCTGGGGCATCCGGAATTGGCCACTGTCAGAAGACAGGATACTGTACTAAATGGACCTTTGGGCTGACCCAGCATAGCCATTCTTATGTTCTAAAATTTGCTGGTAGGCTAGATACACAGATAAAGTAGCCTTCTGAATTACTTGCAAATGACCCTAACAACTACATTTCAAGATGCCAATTATTATTAACTTGTGTTTGCATCTTATTCAGCATATTAATTCAATTTTTTTTAAATATGTACATATGCATCTGAATGAGATTTGTCTTGAGTGGCAGTGGAGACAGCCAAAAGGGGAGATGTAAGAAGGGATTTGAAAGAGGAGCTGCATGACATTAGGAGCAGTGAGGTCAATCCAGGTGTAGAAAATCCAGATATACATGTATATGGCCCTAATCCAGCAAAGCAATTTAAACCCATGCTTAACTTTAAGCACGAGTAGTCCCATTGGCTACAATAGGACTATTCATGCTTCTAAAGTTTACGCGCAGGCGTAAAACATTTGCTAGAATAGGGCCTATACATCCCCATAAAACCCAAGTTCAGTGATGCACACAAGATCTGGCCTCTGTGAAAGGAAAGGAACAAACAAACATTTCACAGCCCAATTATAAAATGTTTCAGAGTGCTGACAATTTTTAAGCCAAACCTTTTATAGAGTGTATAAACCAGTGGGCCATCTCACTGGCCAGTGCATCAAATAAAGCTCCCAGCTGCAGGGCCGACTCCAGCATTTCTGCCGCCCCAAGCAAAAAAAAAAAAAAGCTGCAATCGGCGGCGGCAATTGGAAAAAAAAAAAAAAGCCGCGATCGGCGGCGTCAGTTCAGCAGCAGGTCCTTTGCTCCTAGAGGGAGTGAGGGACCTGCCGCCCCTGAATTGCCACAGGTGCCGCCCCTCTCCCTTGGCCGCCCCAAGCACCTGCTTGTTAAGCTGGTGCCTGGAGCCGGCCCTGCCCAGCTGTGGCAGAATACATCTCTTTCTTTCTTCAGTGATGGGTTTATTTCTCAACACCAGAACTGCCCAACATAAATCAAACAGTTAAACTAGGCCTTTTTCTTTTGTCCCGGATAGGCTCCTGCAGAAGACCAATCTGGCCCGCAGTAGCTCTCGCTTCCCACTAAAGCAGCTGGTTGGGGGGTTTGTTTGTTTGTTTGTTTAAGGATCAGGTGACTTGCATTCTCTCATCTGATCCCTGGCCTCAAACCAATCACCTGGGATGTAGTTAAATTAGGTAAGGCTAAGATTTTGTCACAGATATTTTTAGTAAAGTCACAGACAGGTCACAGGCAATAATGAAAAATTCACAGAAGCCAATGACCTGTCCCTGACTTTTACTAAAAATATCCATGACAAAATGAGGAGCATAGGCAGCTGCCCCAGGGCCAGTGATTTAAAAGGGCTTGGGGCTCCCGGCCACCACTACTGTGGCAACGGCTGGAGCCCCGGTCCCTTTAAAATCACCGCCGGAGTCCCGGGTGACACGGGCCAGGCAGCGCAGATGGGCTGGCTGGAGAAGGCTGACTCCCAGCCCCACCCTTTCTATCCGAGGCCCCGCCCCTTCCAGGGGCCAGTAGCCAGGCCCCTGTACTGGTAAGTATTTCATATTACTTTCACCCCTGATTGGGTATCATATGATATAAAAGAGAACAGATTTCAGATAATGTGCTATTTTACTCCTAACTTCCTATGCATAACTAAAGAGGGAAGTTTAGTATATATTAGTAAAGTTATTGAAATTTTGTAACTTACCTTTGCAAGTCACCTTTAAGAACAGCGCTGTGTTATTCAATCAAAATATTGTTCCCAGTTCTTTACAATGGAGTATCATGCCAATATGTAACAACTATAATACAACTTTGTACCAGTTTTGCACATTAGTTTGCACAATTTATACAGGAAAAAAAAACAAAGTAGTTTGATTCTCATCTCACTTAAACTGACATAAAAAAGGAGTAACTCCATGGAAATCAAAGGAGTAAAATGGTGTAAAAGTGATGTGAGAACAGTCAGGCCCAAGGTCACCAAAGCAGGACAATGAAAAGTAATTTTACCTTGGATTATCATTGAAGGGTAGACAAAAAATATACAGCAAATCAAAATATTATAACCAGTATCACTGAACAATTAAGTAAGTCATAGCAGGAAAGATCTTCAAACACTAGCTCAATTAAAGAAAAGCTTAAATTATTGTGACCCTTGCTCTTGTGTATACAAGTCATGACAAATTGTATTTCACAATAATGAGAGTTTTAGGACTGCAGGTAAATGTGTTAACTTGTTTTACTTAGGTTATGTTATCTTCTATAATGTATTTTATATACAAAGAACTCTTGTACCACAAGTGCTTGTAAATTAGCCTGCAGCCTCTATTCTGTGAGCAGACAAGAGGTTTTCAGAGGGTAATCTTGCTGTCTTACCCACACACACATGAATCAAACACCACAGCCAAAGCACTTTCTTGCCGAGTTTTACTTTACAGCAGGCAATCATGGGAGCTTTCAAAATATTTTTTGTTTCTAAGTGCAAGGCAAATAGAAGCATGTTGGTCTCAGCGGCCACGTATTCCTCCAACACTGCTGTCCCTCCAGCTTTGATGCAGACAAGGAAGGGAATGCAAATAGTTTGCTTACCAGAAGCTTCACGTACAGGAAATGGCCGTGAGGTTTCCTCAGCCTGTTAGCTGTTACCTTTACTGGAAAGCCTTTGGGGGGGTGGGGGAAAACACAGGTAGGAGGAGTCACCACTGCTGCTGCAGCCTGGGCAGAATCTTGTGGTGAGGCAGAGGATGAAATTTCTTTGCAGAGCAAATGCTTTTTCCCTGAAGTGCATGGTTATCAGTCTCAAGATGATCAATCTCAAGATGTAAAGGCTCCTCCTATGTACATTCTAGGAATTCAGCATCAGTTTCTGCCAGTGACAGAAGGCCAGTCAGCCTGCAAAAAGGAAAAAAAAACCTCTGAGTGTGTGGGATAATAGTAAGAGAGGAAGTTGCAAGACGTTAAAGTCAGCTTCAAGTACCATTCGGTAGGGGAAGGACTAGCTGTGGCAGCAGAGTACTGACTAATTTCTTTCCCCTGAGAAATTCAGGAAAGAAATACATCACTCAAATGCCAGTATTTAATCAGGACAGGAGCCAAGAGCACTGTGAAGGTAGCATGCTCAGCCCCAGCAGGACAAGGCTCACAGAGCTAAACAGCAAACCCTCAACTCAATTTCTGGAGTGAAGGTGACAGACTCTGAAGAGAGTCCTGTGCCACAATGATGATTTCTGTCCAGAATCTTGAGGGGGGGGAGAAAATGGGGGCTCCTCAGGGCTCCAGCAGGGATGTGAAAGACCCCTCCCCCACCCACTCCCACAAGTCTGTCAAGATTCTGCTTCTTAGGCTTGGTCTACACTACCCCCCTAATTCGAACTAAGGTACGCAACTTCAGCTACGTGAATAACGTAGCTGAAGTCGAAGTACCTTAGTTCGAACTTACCTTGGTCCACACTCAGCAGGCAGGCTCCCCCGTCGACTCCGCGGTACTCCTCTCGCCGAGCTGGAGTACCGCAGTCGACGGCAAGCACTTCCGGGTTCGACTTATCGCGTCCAGACTAGACGCGATAAGTCGAACCCAGAAGTTCGATTGCCAGCCGCCGAACTAGCGGGTAAGTGTAGCCAAGGCCCTAGAGAGAGCAAACATCAACAAATAAAAGAATTTGGGGAGTGAGAAAATCAAATAGTGTGAAGTCATAGAGCTAGTCTACATTAGTAGCGCTACAATGGCGCCACTGCAACGTGTCTGGTGAAGATGCTCTATGCTGACAGCCCTCCCCTTGGCAAAAATAAAACCATCTCCGTGAGAGGCGGTAGCAATGTCGGTGGGAGAAGCTCTCCTGCTGACATAGTGCTGTCCACACTGGCGCTTAGGTCAGTGTAATTTACATTGCTTGGTGGGGAGGGGTGTGTGGCTTATTCCCACCCCTGAGGGACATACATTATGCCAACACAGCCTGTCGTGTGGACAAGCCCATAGAGCTTAACACTGACATACATAGAGGCTTTGGTGACAGTGAGAATAAGTTAGCCTTGGGCAAGTTTCTTCCGTTCTCTCCCTCCTACTCCCACACATATTAAAAACAATTGAACTATCTTTTGAGCTTATAGTACCTCAGGGGAGGTGATGCTCTTCTTAGTGAGGTAAGCAAAGGTTATTATTCTTGACAGTCACCCAGACTGAGGCACACAGGAGATTTGTCATGTCACAGAACACTGGTGAGAAATCAGAGAATGTCACTGTCAATAGGGGGCCCAGGGGTTCATGGAGGGGATCTCAGGTCCTAGCCCACCTACCTGAGACACCCCCTTGCTTCTGATCAGCACAAACCCCCTCTGAGGAGGCAGAAGGTGACCCCAGGAATGGACATGGCTCTCAGCAATAAAACAAAGCTTTTATCCAAGCAGGGCAAGCCCTTAGCCCATTTCAGGGGGTAATACCAAGAGGAGACCCCTCAGGCAAGTTACATATGCATGTTCCTCAGCAGTAATAAAATATCCCAGTTCCCAATCCTAAATATACAGATTAAAGCTCTCTGACTCAATTAATAGTTCCAGTAGCCCAAGCCCACCCTCTATCCCCTGCTTACTAAGTGCCAATCCTTTGCTGCAGTCACTGATGTTAGAGAGTGCTGCAAAATCATTGAGGGTTGATTTCCATTGAAAGAGTTGTCAAAATCATAACATTACCAGGGAACCTTTCAATTTCAACCAGAAAAATTCCAACTAACTCTACAGCAAAGGGTTTCTGTTGCTCTACTCTGACTGCAGAAAAGCATGCTACTGTGCCCATCCAGGTTTGTGATGTGTTTGGTCCTCTGTGTGCTTGGGGATGAAACAATGAAAGGTTCCACACACCTTTCTCTAATCCTGCACCATTGTGCAGCACAATAAAGAATTTTTAGGAGCAAAAATCTAATTCGAAGTGGAATGGTTTTTTTTTTTAAAAAGTGCATGTTTTGTTAAGCAATATAAGATGGAAACACGACTGGGGCATAGTTAAGGTTGCTTGAACACACTTACCAACTTCATAGCAGGGTAGTTTCTCTGCTTTCTTACATGCTTTGATCAGCAGTGAAATAGTTAATAATGTTGACCTTAAAAATATCATCACTGGCATCTGAGCTAACATCCACTGAGAAGATTAGGATAGCTCACCCCATCAGCACTATTGTTTCAGGCCCCTTGCAAACTCAGGCAGATTTTGATGCCTCAGTTATGCTCAGGTCATGTTTACAAGGTTTTCTTCACAACCATAGCAGCTAGAGAATTTAAAAAAAAAAAGTTGGCACTGTGGAGAACAATTTGGGGCCTATTCACATCCCCCCAGCTAGTCCTTTGTGCCCCCACACTTTGAGAAATAATGCCTTAAATGGGTTGCACAGATGTGCAAGGGTTACAGAAATAGGAATAAGGTTTACTAATACAAAAAAAAAGGGGGGGGAGCTGTTAAATAATGAGCATGATTCTATAGGGAGCACCATTGTGAAAATATAGAGAATACAGATATTCACTCTGGTAACAGTAACATTATTACAGTTGCTGCTATAGTAGCATTGATCTACTTCTTTCATTTGCCCTTGTGGGGGAAGTGGAGTTCCACTATCTCTCTATAATCACTATATAATTGAAGACACTTGTTTATCCCTTTGAAAAGATTTCAAGGAAACTTTCAAAGCCAATCACTGCAATGAATTATGGAGTAATTACAACAATAAGGATAAGCATTTTCATAAGTGCTTAAATGATTTAGGTCCCTAAATCTCATTGTCAAGTGTCTTTAAGACAGCGGTTTGCAAATTTTTTGAGCTGAGAGCCCTCCCCCCCCCTTTGACTTACAATTTTTGTTGTGTTCCCCACAAACAAACAAAAATAGACACATGCAAAAGTATGCTTGATAGCTTTCTTATAAACCTGACAGAGATCTTAACACAACTTTAATTAAATTACCTACACCTATAAGTTTCAAATACACAGATACTTACCAATGGCACAGCCAAGGTTTCCTCAGCAGCGGGCTGCTTTTAACTTGCAGCCAGCTGCACCACTAGGGCAGGGCCCCATTGCCCCTCCCCCCCTCAGATTTTCAGGGGGGGAAAGCACGTACAAAGGTATCTGAGGGCGGGACCAGCACTGGTTGCAGAGGCTGCCAGGAGCAGAAAATTGGTGTGGCCATGTTGGATGTTCACACTGACCTACAGGCTGGGGGGGCCTGCTGAGGTGAGTCAAGGGGCAGAGGTGGCACTCCTTCCCCATTCCCAGTGGGGGCTGGCCCAAGTCCTGCAGGACTCGCATGAGCTGCCTGGCGTCACCATTCACATCCCCAAATGTTCCAACACGCCCCCCTGCAGGGCGTGTCCCACAGTTTGACAACTGCTGCTTTACAAGCTTTTGAAAATTTTATCCTAAATCATTAAATAAAATAAAGTGTGTCCTAAATATAATTTTTAAAATATCAGTCTGGAAATTGATTTTTTTGTAACCCAGATGAGGAGACAGGAAACTAAGTACTACATAGAAAAAGCAGGATATTGTAAGGACTACATTTTGAAAGGATCTATTTGAGATCTGCAGATGAAAAAGCATTATAATATACAAGTGCTATTTGAATTATTAGTAACAGTAATAACAGTTGCATCGGTTTGCATATGCAACAAGGTAATTACATATCTAATTACCTGTTTTCATATACAAACACAGGATTTTGCTTTGTAAAAGGAAGCAATCAAAAGAACATATATTTTGCAAACTATTGAAAATCTGACTCAAAATTGTAGGGTAAGTGGGTTGTATGTTTTTTGTTTGTGTGTGGGGTTTTTTAATATGGTTATTTTAACAGAGGTAAAAATCAACAAAATGGCCAGCAAAATATCTACCCAGCAAGAGGGAATCTAGCTTTATTAACAGTTATAGAGGCAGTTGACCAGACACAGGTAATTCTCAAATCTCTTTTGAAAATTAATTTAAAACACTATATCTATTTTTATTTAGCAAATATATATTTAGCTATTTGACATAATATAAATAGGCATTGTGGGTTTCCTCTAAAGTAGCCAATTTACAAAAAATGACTGAGACCTGCTTTAAAATAAGAGTAGAAGATATCAAAGAACTAGTAAGCATGCAATGAAGCTGACATAATGGAGGCGTGGGGACTACTAAATTGTCCTCTATGCCTGGAACTTGCGGCAACTGCCTTAATGAATTTTAGTTAAATAATTACTGTCTGAAGAACAAAAACAAGCATCTATAAAAACTATTTAAATATATCTGATTTGCACAAAACAAGACTCCCATTTCAAACTCTAGCCCTAAACTCTGCAGTTTGGATGATAAACTGTGGATTTTATAGTTCAAGGTAATACTTGTTGCAGCAAGATTTTTCCAGAGCACATTGTTACATGTGTACCAAAAACATTCTGATAATACTGTTGATATTTGCAGAGGCTGAAGAAGAGGTGTGCATTTCAAGGACTTTTATCAGAGAAGACCTCTGAGATGTATAACAGAAATTGCAACAAAGGACTATTTTCCTGTTAATTTTGTAGGCTTAATTTTGTTCCTAAGAAGGGAAGAATAGTGCTATGTTGACCAGGCATAGGGCAGATAGTGTTGAGGTGCACTGGAAAAACGGTAGGGGAAGCTAGCTCAGAACCTAACCTATAATGAGAATACAAAGAATAATACATAGCAAATAACTTATTCAATTAATTTAGCCTCTTTTCAGTGTCTAGTTATCCAAGAGCAGTTTATAATTTTTCCAGATTAATTCTTTATTACATAAATCTTTGCAGCTGTCTCATGACTTGACAGGAATAATTCTTGATGAATAGATTGTTCACAAGTAGTTCCTTGCCGTATATTTGATATTCTAAATTCAAGCTTGCTTTGTTAGTTTTCATTATACATAGGCCATATGGTATTGTGTTTGTTCCCTAGTTAAATGAATATAACACTTGGGTATGTCCAAACTGCAATTCAAGGTGTGATTACAGCTCAGATAGACATACATATGCTAGCCTTCCTAGTGCGAACATAGCTAAAAATAGCAGTATAGATGTGCATGGCTTCAGCATGGGTTGTCCAAGTTACAGAACCTAGGTACATACTTAAACTGTTAAATTCTGCCTACAATAACCCTCTTAATTTTGTTTGGCAGAACTTCTCTTGAGCAACCAAGGCTACCTGTGGCAAGTTTTGTTGTGTGTTTTGTAATATAGAAGCATGAAAACAGGCTACAAATCAGACTCAATTATACGTGTGATGTGACCCAGCCAGGTCTCCAGAGGTGAAAGGCTAATGCATTAACCCAAGTATGCAATCTAGCCACCAGTGGCACAGGACTCTCTGGAGGTGGATGGGTCACAGCACTATTTTTTGGTAGAAGTACCTCAGCATGTTCTTTACTACATTATAATGTATCCACAGTTTAGTAACCATTCATGAGTATACCATATACATTAAAATTCCAGGGAAAACAATATAAAATCAGTTAGTCAATGAGGGTCCAAACTCTGCAGGTGTCCAGCATAACTGCATAGCATAGTTTATGAAGGACCTAATAAAAACAACATATGCAGGAATGGCAAACCGCAGCCACTGGGAGCTGCAGGCGGCCATGCCTGTGGACGGTCAATGTAAACACTGTCTCCTGGCCCGCCAGCGGATTACCTTGATGGGCCGTGTGCAGCCCGCAGGCCACAGATTGCCCACCACTGCTCCATTTTGTGTCCACCACATTTCCCTCTAGCACTGCTTATCTAAATTACAAGATCCCAATCAGTGCCATATGCCTGCCTGTGTCTCTTCCCCTCCCTGCCAGGCTGAGGTGAACTCCCTTTTGCTGTTTGTGAGACTCCACAGGCACTGATGAACCCTCTGTGTAATCAGAGAAGCCAGGAAGTGAAGCCAAAAAGCAATTTTCCAATTGAGGGGAAAGTAATTAGGGCCTGCTGGCAATGGAGCCGGACAGAACCGTAGAGGGTGAATCAGCAATAATGCTCTGGATGGTCAGTCAGGTATATGCATGTGCTGGGAAGTCCCTCGAAAAGTGATGCCCTGTGTAACTGCATAGATCTAAGCCGTACAAGTCAATTCCCTTGCCATACTATTCTCATTTTACAGGAAAACCATTTTGCCATAGTAGCTGTATCACTCTGTGATGAGTTGGACCCCGTTGGATGTCACCTGGTGGGCTGAGATGCCACTAAGTCAGA